GTATCGTAGAGCCTGTTAGTGGGATGTTGGTACCGAGAGTATAGGGAGTAATCGGGAACACTGTGGGTGGATGGCAAAAACGATATCAGTTGATAGAATCTTATAAGGGGAACATCGCCAGGTTCATGTCGCAGTAATAGTGGGACGTTTGTTCCAAGGTGCGATAAAGCGAGTGGGACTTGAACATTATTGGTGGGTTCCAAGATGTGGTGATAGCAATGCATCAGAGATGGCAGCGGCAAGTCTACATAAGCAAATCTTCTGCACCCTTAACGAAATACGATCGATAGGACTACAGTTCGCACTTTCAGTAGTTGACCTATGTAATCCTATTCCCTTATCTGTAGCGACGTCATATCCAACCGCTAAACGAACTGGGTCCGCGAGCAGCAACGTTTAATTCCTCTACTGGCATTTTGGGGTGTCTCGAACTCGTAATATATTCAGACTTTTCTCTCAAATCAAGCTTATTTCAATGAGAAGCGATTCCAATTAACAAAATATGTACAAACTTTATCGGAGACTCGTTGCCTGTAAGGTTTGGCTTCCAGGTTGAAATCTCTTATGCGGAAGTGATCATGCTTTTCGGACACCGTACTATTGGAGAGGGCATCAAGTCTAACTCATAGTCAGAGCAGATGTCACTTGTGGCTCGAACACGTTGTGACCCAGTGGGCAATCTTGTAGCAAGTGTGAATGTTACGACTTTTTGAGACACTCAAATGTAGTTACTTGTTTGGAACTTTACCATTTGAGGCGTCATGATTGCATGAACGAGTAGAGCGGCAAACGCGATCAGTTGCCCAGCATCGCAGTAATTGATAAGGGCGTTTTGGAGTCAACCCTAAGAAGGGACAATCGAAAGAAAGTGGTGTTGTGGTGCGTGTCATCTTCCTACCCAGGCTAACCGAGTCTTCTACCCGTCGATAAAACGGAATAAGATTCGCCTGTGGATAGGGAACACTGACTCGAACATAATCTGTCGCGCAATTACAGGTCATAACGCCGGTAAGCTACTATTTCTGTGAATGGAACTAAAATGCGTGCCACATCCCGGAACCACATCCCTGATTATCAAAGACCAAAAATTCATTCTGTCATCTTTTAACTCGGCAAAAACGAAAGGGGGACGTTTTGATAGTACCTGTAGAACATAAACTGCCATCACAGACTTCAGTCACCGATGGTACTTTGCAGTGCGCACAATAGTAAACAACTAAACTAGGATAAACTAGTAAGTCATATCAAAATGATACGAATCCTCTAAAGTGGAAGAGAACGTGGCCATCTTGAGCCTATGTATCATCTCAGTATGCATACATTCACTAAAAGGATTCGACAAATACATATAATATGAATGGAACGAAATTTTCCACCTCACCCCTACTTTCAATTTTTTCGCACCCTTATGTACGGTAGAATTGGAACAAGCCGTGGAAAAGGCATTTCCAGCGGTTTGAACTCATTTTATTTTCCTTCAAGCCACCAATATTTCTGAGAGTATGACATAATAACATAATAATTAAATGTTCTGTAGTACGGGGGTAACGTGATGGTAAGTAGCGGCCCCGATAATATTGTCCAAGCCAACCTTGCTACCCGCATATTCCTCTGCTTGCGATTAGTCGGTACCAGACTCGTCAGGGAGTGTAAACACACTGACTTTCACTGAGGCTGTTTCCCTCCCCTCAATGCATAAGCTATAACGCATTCAAAAACAATAAATGGGTTCTTCAGATGATATTCTACTTCTCTGTGAGGTTCGACCTTCGATTGTTCCTAGGTTACCATAACAAAAAAAAACGGCGATCGTAAGAAATATGAAAAAATTTTTCCGGCAGGGAAGATCTCTCCATTTTCTCCTTCAAACAGTGCAAAAAAAAACATAGGCAAAACATTTTATTAGGTCGTCCGGAAAGTTCTCAGCGTTTTGAGTGTTTCACTTTCAAACGATCATAACTTTCTTAATACTCATCGGATTCAATCGAAATAAGCACGTTTGAATTAGCACACATTGACACCAGTCGAGAAACCCCATCAAAGAAAGCTGGGTGGTCGAGAATCCACGAAATCCACGAAGGTTTTTTTTGCTTGGTCCTGACTGATGAAGTATTTTCCAGCAAGGAAGAAATGTTTGAAAAGGTGATAGTCGGTTGGTGAAAGGTCTGGAGAATATGGCGGGTGAGGTAGAACTTCAACCCCAATTCGTTCAATTTATGGATAGTGATTTGTGAAACGTGTGGGCGGGCGTTGTCATGCAAAAGAATCGGACCCTTTCTGTTGACAAGTGCTGGCTGCAGCTGACGCAATTTTCGGTACATTTCGTCGATTTCTTCACAGTAGGACTCTGCTGTGATGGTTTGGCCTGGTGACAAAAAGTTATAGTGGATCACACCAGCCGATGACCACCACACTGTGACCATAATCTTTTTTTCGTGAGGATTCGGCTTTGGAAATTGCCTCGGTGGTTCGTCGGCATCCAACCACTGTCCGGAACGTCTCCTGTTATCATACATGATCCACTTTTCATCACAGGTGACAATTCGGTCCAAAAACGGGTCGTTTCTGTTGCGCAAAAGCAGTGAAGAAGAAACCTCGAGACGTGCCAATTTCTGCCGGTCATTGTGGGGCACCCACTTGTCGAGTTTTTTCACCTTCCCAATGCGTTTCAGACCATCCGCAACAGTGGATTTGCCAACGCCTAGCTTTTCTGCAATCTCTCGAACTGTTTGGGATGGGTCAGCCTCCACAAACGCCTTCAAATCCTCGTCAGGTATTGCTTTAGGTCGACCGCTACGAGGTTCATCTTCAAGGCTGAAATCTCCAGAACGAAATTTGTCGAACCATTGTCGCACGGTGCTTTCTCCAACACTATTGGGCCCCCACACCTGGTTAATTTGTCGAGCTGTCTCGACTGCGGATTGACCCAATTTGTAGTTGAAGAAAAATATCGTCCGAAGTTGCTCTTTTGACATGCTTCAAAAAGTCTTAAAGGGGGTTTATCAAGCAAGTGAAACGGCAATTATACCATCAGATAGCGCAAAAAATTCTCTTCAGGATGTACTACTGAGACGCAAGGGAGAATGAGTTTTTAATCAGCAATGAATGTACAAAAAATAGTAACACAAAACGCTGAGAACTTTCCCGGACAACCTAATAATATTAGTTTTTATGTTAGGCGAAAATCTCATCTTTCGAAAAAATGTTAAGAGTTATAGGCCAACCTAGAAGATTGTCAATTGATCGACATAGCCTAATGTTTCTGCCTTGTATTTTAGGTCACCCTAGCCTGTGATTGATCCCTCTCTTTCTTCTAATGGAACTGCTAGATCGCGTGTTATCCAACGTGGCCCATTTGGTGCGCCTCGGTCTACAAGGAGAGACCAAATGAAGCCCATATGGACAAGCAGTACATCAAACCCTATTCGTGTATTTATGGTGGGCCTTATGTCTCATCTTGTTGCGAGGCTTTAAATTCGAGTTATATCTTTTTCAGTTTGTTCCGATGATTTCTGAAATCTCGGTGAAGACATTAACACGTCAGTTCCGTTTATATTATCAGTTCTCTTGTAACTTTTTTTCGTTCATCATTATTATTTCTTCATCTCTCAGACCTTCTGGATGACAAGCAACTTCTGGAGCAGTTGAAAGCTGAAAAGTTTGACGTCGCGATTACCGAGCTCTTCGACTTTATTTAAATAGGTTACGAAACTCAGCTGAAGTTCTACTGAAAAATGAAATTGCGCACTCAGCAAATAAAACTCTTAAGTCCTAATTTATTACTGAAGCTTTGACCAATTAGGTAATTCGCTCCGATCGCAGATATGACTTCCGTTTGAGCGACGGCGTCGGTTGGCGCAGCCAAACTTTCTTTAAAGTTGATAAGCTTACGCGTTAGGGATATTTGGCATCCTGATCACTACCCTGGCATTCAGTTTTGACACCGGTGCTATCTGAAGGCAGAATTGCCGTTACCAGGTTGGCACTGCCACGTTTTCCACATTCATGCATATACAGTAGCAGGAATGGAGGCCCTGGTTATGAGCCCGACATTAATTTCACGAACTTATTGCTTTTGGCACTATGCTCGCAGTGAGCACTCAGTCGAAGATATTTCCTCCCTTCAGACTCACGCAGACTTGGTAGGCAATATGTCAGGAGAAGTCGTACATCCTGCCCCTCAGTTAGCACAAGTGCGAGGTAAAAATGATATTAGTGAAGAAGTTCGTGGCGAAGTGTATTGGCTCCAAACGGCCCTAGTGCTGAAGCGATCGTCACATTTGTGATCAGAACATTGAATTACCATCGAGCTGAATGATGAGTTTATTACGAATCTGGTGGAAGACGTGCCAAGTTGAACTCGGCACCGAATAGCGCTGTCCTAAAAATGAATGCTCTATTCATAAACAGGGTCCTGGATAGCTCTCAAGAGATGAAACCTTGTATCGATTTCAGTGCAAAGGTGGTTGTGGAAATGGCGCCAGCGCCTAAAACGAGATGCGGTGTTTGTGGATGGGGTGCTGGATATCTTTGTTGGTGACAGCTTCAGCAGAAAATTCGTTTCAGGGTTGTAACAGTATGTTAGTGCGCAAAAAGAGCCAAAGAGTGCTGCAAGTGTTCGAGGCTTTTATGCGTCTTTTAAAGCCTTCATAGCCAATCTGATCTTATCCTTATAGGCTGCAATGAGAAATCCCATTTTCAGAAGTACTGGAAGCAATCGGCCTCAAGAATATTATTGGTGCACATTAGTCTGCAATCCTGGAGGGCACTGCATTTTCTATAGGTGTTCCTGTCATTCCCAGCTATGCGCCAGCTAAAAAAATTCTAAATCTACTTTGGAATCTTTTTCCTCTGGGAGTAGCGACGCACACCGTGGCATCCCAGATAGGCTTGCCGCTCGCGGCGTCCAACCTGAGTTTACTTCTGATGGTGAGTAGCGGCATCGCATGCTGTCCTGGCTAGTTGACGCGAGAGGCACAGACACAGGGGGAGCCGAAACGCCGCAGCGCTGCTACGTTGAGCGGATTGGGTCCTATGCGTATGTACGTTGCGCCCATCACCCCGCCTGCCGAGCCTCTTTCATCGCACTTCGCGATGCCAAAGCAACGCGAGACACTTGAGACCTGAAACGACGGAACCTGTATTCCTCTGACCTATTTCCGATAGTACACAGCCTTGCTTTGACTCTCCGTCATTGCTGGGCCTGGTGGAACTCAAGAGGGAGATTTCTTATAATATCAAGCTCTGCCGCATTGAAAGTACGCAAAACAGGTTGTTCTTGTACAGTTCTGGAAAGATTGAACGGAATCCCAAGAACTACAGGGGACCCAATGGAGACGGTTAGCCGAATAAGTGGCGAACTCCACCCTGATCCAATGAAACCTTCTGTTTCTCGCTCTGAAGCTGCTAGTTCTTGAAAGGTGAAAAGTCGTGACCTAACTTTGATTGGGCTTAGGTGTTACCGAGCATAAGGCCGCACTTCTCATTCATCGCAGGTGCCAAGGTGATAGATAGATTGGAATGAGGGGAGAAAATCAGGCATTCACAAGGCAGCGTGATTTTTTACGGTTAATTTTTCCGATTTTTCACGGTTAATTCCCCATCAAAGGAGATGAGTTTCAAATTTCTGGGGTTTTCATATGCACCAAACCTTTATTTTTCGATTGGGAAATAAGACACGTCTCAACGACTGGTAATGATTAAAAAATAAAATCTAACATGTTAACGTCGTAGGAGAATGGGCGGAGACAGTAAACCACTGTGTCATCATTTGGGCCTTCAGTTCTAACCGTAAGACTGCGACGCGTAGCGGCGCAAATGAGGAAACCACGACGCCTTTTTTGGCTCATGTGGGGAGGATGGGCTAAGCTTTGGAGATCAGCTCCCTTGGTGAAGAATGTATAAGCTCATTGAAAGTGTGAATTGGAGGAAAAAATCCTTACCTTGCTCCTAGAACTATCTTTCCGCAAGAAAAAACTGCCGAAATAAATGCACCAGAAATGCTAGTTGCTTCTAATTTTTAAGTTTTTTGCACTTATCGGTCTTCCATTGTTTTTTTATTCAAGGGAGCAACCTTATATCTTTCAAATAATGCATTTTATCCACTTTATAAGTCTCAGACTTGCCTACGGATGGTAGGGCGTCCTAGCCAGGCTGAGTTTTGCGCAATCAGCCCGTTCTCCAACTGCTAAAGCGGGTGAGCGGCCTGCTGACCGAAAATGATGATGGGAACGATATGATACAGTCTCGTCGCTTGCAGAAAAGAAATAAGAAAAAGAACGGGCTAGCGCGATGCTAAACCCATCACACCTTGACACGCCCCCCCCCCATGAGCAGCAAACAAAACTACCTGGAATAGTTCCGAAATTGAATTTATTCTTAACTTCCCATTAGATTATAGGAATACCAGTCGGATCGCCCGGCTAACGCCGAGCTCTCCTCCTTCTTGGAAGCCCGGCTTCGCCGGGCTCATGCAACTGCTTTAGAGTCGTGACTAACCGCTGTCTTCTAATCAAATGAATGTAGAAACGCGCCATATGATCGCAGGGCACTTTCATAATGAAAAGTTCAAAATCTGGTCATGGATAATCGATTACTCTCCTCCCCATCTTATGACAGCCATGGATGCTTCGGTCTCCGCAGTCGCTGCGTGCTCCTGTTCAGGCGAGCGTCGGTCGCGCCAATATGGTACCCCTTCACCTCACCTATCCCCAAACTAACCTCAGCTATTCCCCGCTCAGCCACCCTACAGGTCACGCTCAGCTGCTACGCGAATAGCCCGTGCAATGGTTCTGAGTGCACTAAATGGTTGTGTTATGTTGTGGAGGGTGTTATGACTATCAAAACGCTACCACAATTTGATAATGCAACATTAATCGGTTCAGTTCCGATTGCGGTCGATCCATTTTCTTCTCATCTTATCGCAACCGTAGACGCCTTACCGCCGCAGGCGCTATGTGCTCCTAATCGCGAAATCGCCGTTCTCATCTGGTATCCCCCTCACCACATCATATCCCACTGACCCTATTTAACTGGCGCCCACTCCCGCACGTGGTGCAGCCGCCACGTGAGCAGCTGGTGCAACATAGGGACACTACGCCGCCGCCGCCACTGTTCTTACCACCGCCTTGCTTGTGCTCACGTCCAGCTCCCAAGCGAGCAACTCCTGCAATAGCACAGTCCCAGTGTTCGGCTTAGATAGGGGAGCGATTCACAATCCAAACAGCTTCCTAGTTCGTTGCTGTAACATGTAACCGCAGTTTTGCTGGCGGTTCTTTCCTTCTGTCTTGCCGCCTGCTCCTATCCAAGCGTACGCTACGCATCCCCTTACTGTACCCAGTTTGCCCGATTCAATCCATATGCCTCCTTCCCCTGCATGGGCTCAGATGTACGCGCAAGGGAGTGAGGATCGGAGAAGGGGGTCACTCGATACTAACTCCCACCTTTCTCACCTCACCCCATTCCGTATTCGCCACACTTCACCCCCCCCCTCCCCTTCTACCAACCTTGCCCCTTTGCCAAACGCGCTTATGTCCAAGTGTCACGCGACCAACACGTGCAATGGTGGAGTGTAGTGGTTTTTTTATATAGTGGAGAGTGTTATCACAACCAAAACAATTTCTTAGTTCGTTACGCTGACATAGATCGGCTTGCAATTTTTAGTTAGCGGTTGTTTCCTCATCCATTGGTGTGCGTTTCTACTGAAGCGCCGGCGCCTACGCACCGCATCGACTGTACCCCCCCCCCCCCCCCCTCTGCGCTGACCCTTCCCTCTGCTCCCTCCAATATCAATTGTGGCTTCAGCTCGCGGTCTGAGCACGATGCCAGGAGGAACAGGCAGGGCACCTGGGCGCCCACCCTGCTACCCCGCACGAGCCACGGTCCAGCTGGTCCACGCCAGCACTCGTGCAATGGCGCTCGGAGTGTACCGATGGTTGTCTTATATAGTGGAGGCTGTTATCGCAATCAAAACACTGGGTTGATACATCCTTACCAATCAGCTACCGGTTTGCCTAGCGGTCGTTTTTCCCTCTAGTAATTCAAAGCCGTGAAACATTTTGCGGACGGACAGACATACATACATACATACATACTTACATACATACTTACATACAAACCGGCAAACAAAGTCACTTTATAAAATGAAAGGATTTTCGATTCTTTTTTATGGAACCGAGAGAAATATACTACTTTCCGTTTTTTGTGCTCCAGCATGATATTTTTCAGGTTCTCTCAGCGTTACCAACGACTCAACAGATATATGGACCCGTGCAGTGAACCTTGCGTTCACGGGTGCTTCATGGTACTTTCAAATAGGGATAGCGAGAAATGTAGATAGGTTGATAAAAGCGAAACTCGGCAGCAAAGCAACACCTATTTGGGTAAGTGGAGCTTCTTATTGAGTTCATCTTATTTTTTCCGTCACCTTCCATTCCAAAGATACCGCGGAATCCGTGGACCCCGGGAAGTCGCTGAATGCACGGAGTGCATAGTGGAAGTGAATGTACTAGGCTGGAAGAAAGTTCTGCAACAGTTCGAACAAAATTTTGGACTACTGTGTCCACCTTTCGCGAATATTTTCGGTTCCACTCTAGCAGAACTACGGTAACTTCAAAAAAAATTAGGTAGAGATGCTTTAAGAGTATGCGCTGATTCTAAAAATTTTTGAACTCTGAAGGGTGCAGTAGGGATCAAAGGA